TTGTGGAGAGCCTGGAGATTTCCACGTAGCACTTTGGCGCTTTGTTCGAGGTTCATACTTGAAGCACCAAGTCTCATCACTAGTTACAATTGATTCCAGGAATGTACAGTTTCGTTTGGCTGTTTTGATAAGATCCTCGCAATATTCAACGCGAGCAATTTGTTGCGCTTGCTCGTGATTTTGTGACACGGTGACGAAAGGTTCTGTCGCATAAACGCTATAAGTTTACAATTCGTTGCTCGATTCCAATAATGATTGCTGTGTTTTGTAGGGGAGGACTGTTTTCAGATCACATATTTTAATAGATGACGCTAGTTTTAAATTTAATAAGTTCCGTTACATTTCCGACATATTGTGTATTTTGTAAGGTGAACATAAGGTGAATATAAGGTGAATGAAAGGCACGATAACACAATGGTGTCAAAGAGTTAAATAGTCTTTATTTACAAACGAACTAGCTTAAATCGCAAACGCAGCGCGCAACTCTCGATACAATAATAGATATATAATTCGCTTCTTTTATTTCTCCGTTTTGTTCTCTCGATTATTCGTCACGATCGTCGACAGCGATTCGCCGCAATTCACCCAGAAACGTCCATTACGTATCCGAATTAAAAGAAAATGGCGTCCTTCGGCGCCGTAGCATCTCAAATTTCCCAGATGAATAACAGCAGCGTACAAAGTCGACGATTATCACGCAAATCGTAGCGATAACGATAATGATGTTACAAGAATAAATTACAATGCTATTAAATACAATAATGAAGGTGACGTCACGCCGGAATTTCGAAAGAAACATGCTCCGACCAGAACACGGCGTGACGTTACGAGCTCCTCATCATCATCCACCATTCTCACCTTCCGTCGTTATTCGTCTCTTCGAGCGTAATAACCGTAATGATAAGTAATAATAATAACGAGATTAGCGATAATCTTGATTCAACGACGACGACGTCGACTTCCGGCGTCGCTGGTCCATCTTTTTGCTCGCTGACGCGGACGTCGGCGTCGTCGACGCAGCGTAAGAAAACTCGTACCTCTATCTACAAAGTCAAAAGGACCGATAAAACGTGTTAAAAAGGGCGGTGGTCAACAAACGCGCGTGTGTGTTCTGTGTGCGTCTCGGTTTCTTTGTACAGAGCGTTAAGGAAGCGATTACCTTCAGAGGGAATTTTTTATGTTCCGTTGAATATGGGATCGTGAAAGTGGAAATACTTAGCGAAAGTAAAAATGTATGGAAATTTAGGAATTTAGAAACTGATAGTGTATTTATAAATTTATAAATATGAATGGGAATTTATGAAGTTTTAAACTTAAATGGGAATTATACATTTTATAAATATAAATGTAAATTTATGTACTTATGAACATGAATGTTTGTTTATGAACTTCTAAATATAAATATAAATTTATGTACTTATGAATATGAATGTTTGTTTATGAACTTCTAAATATAAATGTAAATTTATGTACTTATGAATATGAATGTTTGTTTATAAATTTCTAAATATAAATATAAATTTATGAACTAATGAACATGAATATTTGTTTATAAACTTCTAAATACAAATGTAAATTTATGAACTTATGAACATGAATATTTGTTTATAAACTTCTAAATATAAATGTAAATTTATGAATTTATGAACATGAACATTTGTTTATAAACTTCTAAATATAAATGTAAATTTATGAACTTATGAACATGAACATTTGTTTATAAACTTCTAAATATAAATGTAAATTTATGAACTTATGAACATGAATATTT